CTTTTAATAATGGAGTAGTTGAGCACTTAATCTAGATCGCTGCATGGGCAACAGTGAAGTGGTCCTTTACTCATAACAATTACTAAGTAATGATTGAAGATTGAACAGATGTTTCATTTTATCTTATGGTACAGCCAGAATGAATCACATGATGTCAGTCGATGGGTTACTAATGTACCTGACGTCTCCTGAGGGATCCATCTTCAATCCAGAGCGGCAGGACCTTTTCCAGGACATGAGCCAACCTCTCGCCCACTATTACATCTCCTCATCACATAACACTTATCTGATGGAGGACCAGCTAAAAGGACCAAGCAGCGTTGAGGCCTACATCCAGTGAGTTCTGCCTGTTTATGGTAATACAGCCATGTGTCTTCTTGATTTCACAGATCTTTAATGATATATTTTGCGGAAAAAAGGATTTTATGAGCATGTAAGTAGTAACATCTCTCATGCATGTAATAATAATATTTCTGGTCAATAATAGAATCTGAAACCATCTATAGCTGTGAGATGCCCAAATAGAGTATTATATCCAACTATGTTACATAAAAATGATTTTTGTAACACTTCAAAATAATGAAACACATGTCTCTTTTTTTACCTCTTGTGGTATGGAACAACAGGCCAAATCAACGGTCATCACAGGCCAACTTTGGCCCGTGGGTCCTGGTTTGGGCATCTCTGGCCTAGTTGAATGCATTACATTTTGTTCTTTGTGTTCATGACAGTGGTTGTTTTTTTGTGCTGGGTTGAACCTCTGAAGGGCACTGAAACGAGGCTGCAGGTGTGTAGAGGTGGACTGCTGGAATGGATCGAATGGGGAGCCGGTAGTTTATCATGGACACACACTGACATCTAAGATTCTCCTCAAAGATGTGATTACTACTATAGCAAATTATGCCTTCAAGGTGCTCTATATTTCAAAAATCAATATTAAAATGAATATCTATTAATAATTATTTACTTTGTTGTTTGCATGATTGATATTAATGTCTATTAATGGTATATAATATTGTTGTTGATTAATATTGTTGCACAGATACATAATAATCTACTTCCAGATGTATTAATAAATGTTACCGTCTTTCCTACTTTTAGGCATCTGAGTATCCACTCATTGTGTCCATTGAAAACCACTGCAGCATAGAGCAACAGGAAGTCATGGCTCGATATTTCAGAGACATTCTGGGTGATATGCTACTCACGAACACAGTAGATGGAGTCTCCAGCGAACTGCCATCCCCAGAGGTGAGCTATTCAGTGCCTTATAGATAGTGGTGCACTTAACTTATCTGCTCTTAATGACTTATTTTTGAAAAACATAGATGACTGCCATGGATCTTAAAATAGCCTATTGTCTTATAGTCATGGTACTTTCATTATGGTCACGTATAAAGACAACAGGTCCATATCACCTATTATAGGATATTGATTTTTTAAATATCTGTTAATACTGTGGGGTCCAAAAGTCTGAGACCAAATTGAGTGTTGGCATTTTCTCATTTAAATCTCAAAATAAAAAGAATGTTTGTACAATGCAAATTTTGCAACTTCTTCTTATTTTGATTGTTATGCAGATAATATAATTTTTATTGAAAATTATAATTTTTTTATAAATGACAAAAAAAAAATAGAAACATTTTCACTTTGAACCTAAGTGTTTATATAGCCTATTTTATTTCTAAATTGTAAAAAATTCTATATTATATAATAGTATATTATTAGGAATGTCAAACAGTTCTATTTGTTGCGTCATTTCTTTCAGGCACTTAAGAGGAAAATCTTGTTAAAAGGGAAGAAGATTGAAAACGAGTCAGAGAACCCCACAGGTGAAGTCAGCGATGAGGACGAGGCAGCAGAAATTAATAAGGACAGTCCGCCAACAAATGGCAAGGTACCAGTGGAAATATTGAGAAACTGAGGAAAAGGTCAGTCAGTGTTTTCCACCCCTTTGTTTAACATTGTTTTTGATTGTTTGCTTTTGCCCCATGTAGAAATCGAAGCAAAATCTATGCAAGGAGCTCTCAGACCTAATGTTCTGTAAGAGTGTACATTTCCACAGCTTTGAGCATTCCCGCACCTCTGCTAAGCCTAATGAGATGTCATCGTTCTCTGAGTCTAAAGCCCGTAAATATTCAAAAGAAGCAGGTTAGAAATTATTTTTAAAAGGATAGTTTGGATATATTTTAACCTCATATTATTCCAAACCTGTATGCTGTATTTTTTTCTGTGGAACACCAAATGATTATTTAAGCAGCTTTTTGCTTTTTCCTTTCTATATAAAATCTAAAAAAATAAATTAAAAAATGAAATTAAGTAGGAATTATTAATTAAATTAAGCATTTTGTAAGAATAATTACATTTTTGTATTAGGAATTCTCATTTTTTGTCTGTTAGGTTCAGATTTTGTGCTGCATAACACCAGGCAGCTGACAAGAGTGTATCCAAGTGGAATGAGGACGGATTCATCAAATTACTGTCCAGTAGACATGTGGAACATGGGATGCCAGATTGGTTAGTATGGTAGATATTGCATTTCACACCATTATGTCAGTACTACAAAATGGAAGAATGTGAGCATGGTAGACATAAAAACACTCTATGTAAAGAGGAACAGGGAAACACAGCTAATGTGTTGTAAAGTGGCCAGTGTATTTACTTTAATGTGTTTTTGATTCATAGTGGCATTAAACTTCCAGTCAGCAGAGATGGAAATGGATCTTAATGATGGGTTGTTTACTCAGAATGGCTGCAGTGGCTACATCCTAAAACCTGAGATCCTTTGCAAAAGAGAGAGACTCTTTGATCCCGAAAATCCTGAGGAATGTGATTATTACCACCCTCTACTGTTCTATGTTAAGGTATTGAACAATGTTTGTGTTCCCTCTGCAAGTTTATTTTCATGGTTTTATTTGTTGATTCTTTCTGTTTTCATCTCTTTTTAGGTTATTAGTGGACAACAGCTCCCTAAAGTAAAGCAAAAAGAATGGTCCATTGTAGACCCCCTGGTAAGGGTGGAAATTTATGGCGTTCCTTTGGATCGAGCCAAACAGGAGACCAAATACATTGACAACAATGGTGAGGAAACGAAAATTAAATGGACTGAAGTGTTGCCAAATTACTACAAGAGAGACAAATGGAAATTGTGCATAATACAGTATGTGTTTGTAACTTTAATAATGTGGAAACAGACATGACCTGTTATGATGACAAGTCTCCTTAATTTACAAACCATAGGAATCCTCTATATGTCCTGCTGTTTGCAGTGATTTTTCTACTTTTTTCATCTGGACAGGATTCAACCCACACTGGAATGAATCATTGCAGTTCACAATCCACACCCCTGAGCTGGCACTAGTGCGTTTTGTAGTTGAAGATTATGATAAAGCATCAAGGAATGACTTCATAGGGCAATACACTATACCTTTTACCAATATTCAACCAGGTAGGCCTATAATAATACAGTATACAAGTTAAAAAAATATTATCTGAATGGGTTAATATATATCTTATATTAATATCTTAATATATGTTATTCAATAACCATGCAAACACAGCCTGTGTATGAATGTTTCCACACAGAAATCCTCATTCATCAATAAGCCTGCACTTTCTCTATTTTTTAATTTAAGATAAAAATTTAGAACCAGTTGAAACATATTACATTACTAGTAGTATTATTAGTGTATGAGACCCAGTGTCATTAGACCTATACTCTAAATCATTGAAAATGAATTGGCTTTCTTACAAATAAGTCTGTCATGAAAA